CCTTCTATTTAGAGAACATTGTGCTAGGTTTTGAGGGAGATAAAAAGTTCAGGAAAGACATAGTCCCTCTCTTTGTGGACCATATAGCAGAGAATACCCAAACATAAATAAATAAAATGTAAAATAGTAACATAAACACATTAGAGAGCTTAAAAACAAATTTATATGAGTCTAAGGATAAGACATATTACCAATAGAGGGATTAGCATAAACACCAAGAAATAGCATTTTAACTGTGTTTTAAAGAATGGGTAAGAATTCAACAAAGAGGAGACTGGAGGATATTCCAGGCAGAAATGAGAATGTAAATAGCATAATGTAAGAGACAGAATATGCAACTTTGGTTGTTTGGAAGTAAAGCAAAATGAAATAATGGTAGAAATCCAGGATTATAGAGGATCTTGAATACCAAGGAAAGGAGTCTGAAATTTACTTAGCAAGCAACTAGGAGTCAATAAAGGTTTATTTCAGCAGAAGGAGGACATAGCCAAATCTCTGTATAAAAAGATCATTTTGGCAGTGTTGATTCATATGAACAAAAATAATACTGCCAGGTATGGAATATACCTAAAATGGTCTAGTAAGAATATATACTATCCCAAACTAATCTTGTTTCTGTTTTCTCTGTCAAGTGGAGTCATTTTGAACTGGAAAGAAAAAAAATGAGTAACAGGAACTTAACAATACCCAAGATAGGTAATGAGACTTAAGACAACCTAAATGTTCTTGAGGTATTCATTCAGCTCTGGTGGACTACATCTTTCATTCAACTCCATTATGGTAAAGAAGTGGTTCATTTTAGAACACTGTTTTTGAAAATCTGCTGTCCTCTACTAATATTCTCATCAGTATTTGAAGGGGGAGAAGGAGGATACCAAAGATATGGAAAAAATATTGGACCTTATTAATACTGAAAAAAGGTGACTAAAAGATTATCAACAACTACTAACCTATATACCTACTTTCCCATATACACTATACAAGATGAAGTTTACTAGGAGAAAATGTTAAATTTTACGTGGGTTAAAATAATCAATAGCACAAGTACACGACAGAAGAGGAATAGCTACACAACAATTCATCTAAAAAAGATCAGGTGTTTAAGTGGATTACAAACTCAGTATATGTCAACTGTGTGATTAGGTAGCCAAAAAAATAAACACAAAACAAAAAAGAATTTGATTCTAGGCTGCATTAAGAAAGTCACAGTGCCTAGGACTAGGAAGATAACCTAGTTGTACATTGTCCTAATGAGATCACAACTGAAGTATAGTATTTAGTTATGTGTGCCACATTTTAGGAAAGACATTAATAAGCTGGAGAGATCAAGAACAAATGAACAAGATAGTGTAGATTCAGAGGAAGACAGAGTGAAGGAACTCACCATGCTTAATCTGGAAAAGAAGAGATTTAGAAGGGTCAGAACTGCCATCTTCAAACGTCTGAATTGCTACCACATAAAAGAGAGGCTAGACCTGTGCTGCTTGGCTCCAAAGGGCAATGGGTGGAAGTGGCGAAGAAGGAAATTTAGGCTTGATATAAAGAATGACTTCCTAACAATTAGAACTATCTCAAAGCAGAATAGACTGTCTAGGAGGTAGGGTTTCCCCTAAGTAGAGATTCTGGAGCAGTGATTGGACAATTACTTGTTGGGTATGTTTTAGGGATTCATATTCGTTGATGAGTTGGGCTAGATGAGCTACAGGGGTCCTTCTAATTTTGAGATGATGTGATTTTGGTATAAAGGTTAGATTGGAATGAATGAATAAAAAACATTTATTAAATGCCTACTGTGTGCTGAGCACTGAAGATACAAATACAAAAGCAAAGTATCTCTTGCCCTCCAGGAAATTATATTCTAATAGGGGAAGGTAACGAAAGTAGAGGTGCAGAAGACCCATTAGGAGAGAGGTGTAACTCTACTTGTGGAGAAGGAAAAAAATGAGATGCAACATGGCATAGTAGATTGAGTGTTAAATGACCTTGGAGCTAGGAAGACCTATGTTCAAATCCTGCTTCTGACACTTACTAGCTGTATGACCCTGGATAACTCATTTAGTCTGTCTGAGCCTCAATTTCCTCATCTGTAAAAATAAAACTTGGATTAAATCTCTAATCCTATAGTCACATCCAACTGGGAGGCTCAGGGAAAGCATCCTGCAGGTGATATCTGAGTTATATCTTGAAGGCTAGGTAGGATTTCAGCAAGCAAAGATGGGGAAGGATGGTATTCTAGGCACAGGATTGTTGCTCTTCACCTTTTGTTTCAAAGAGGACCAATGACATCATAGGGCTATGTCTTGATTTGCACGAACTGGATTTAAGTAAGGCAGATGCACAGAGTCCTCAGCTTCACTCTCTCTTCCAAAGTCATCAAAGTCCAGTTGAAGGACAAAAGTCAAGATGACTGGTGATGGCCCAGGATGCAGTGGATGACCTAGGGATAGTGTGGAACAGTGTGGGCAAAGATATGGAGAAGGTGAAATACTGGGGATACATACTAGCAAACCTCAGCAAGAAAAATGGGGTGGTGTTAGACTGTACAGCATATTTGTATAGTAACTGAAAATTTAAGCTGACAATCAGGCACATCTTTAATAATAAACATACTTGTCACTGTGCTGCATGAAAACAAGGAATAAATGGCAAGAAGCTTAACTTAAATGACAATTGCTAATCCTTTTATACAAACAAAACTCTTCCTTTTTTTTCCCCCTTTAGCTCCCCAGAACCTATAATTGGTGCCATTTTCAAGTTTTCATCAATAACTCATAAAGTTCATTGTTCATCTTGGCCATTCATATAAACATCAATATTCTCACTTTCAAAGAAAAAGGTTTTAGCAGTGAGAAAGTTTCTGTACCACTGTATTCCCCTCTCTCCACAATGAATGGCCCAGGACTAAGGTGCCATGCTCTCTTCTCTAATTCTCTTCTTCATTACTCTGTTCACTCACTAATCTAAAGGGGGTCCACAGAGAGTATGACCAGGTACTCTTTGCTACTGCTTCAAGAGACCTATCTTAGGAGGATTTCAAGCTATGAATGATCCGGCTGGAGTTAACCGCATACCTGTGTGGATGTGGATGAGGGAAAGGCATTAAAGTGGCACCACTGGGAAGCCAATAGGGAAGGTGGTCCTCCATCCCAATCAACTTCTAAGAATAAGATTTCTAGATGCTGAAATCACATGTGGCTCATCTTTGCCAGGAGGAAAATGGTGAGAGTCTGGGGAGGATCACAGATTCCTAGATTTAGAGATTCAGAGGTCCTTATGCACCATTTAATCAAACTTCATTTTACATATGAGGAAAATGAGGTTCCAAAGGTTGAGTAACTTCTCTAAGGTTTATTGTTATTCAGCTGTGTCCCACTCTCTGTGACTCCATTTGGAGTTTTCTTGGAAAAGATACTGGAGTTGGTTTGCCATTTCCTTCTCCAGCTCATTTTACAGATGAAGAAACTGAGGAAAACAGATTTAAGTGACTTGCCCAGGGTTATACAGCTAGTGAGTGTCTGAGGCCAGATCTGAACTCAAGAAAAAGAGTCTTCCTTATTCCAGGCCTGGCGCTCTATCTACTGGGCCACCTATCTGCCCCTTTCTCCAAAGTTATACAGGTTAAGTACCAGTTCCAGGATTCAAACTCACTTCCTCTAGCTCTAAATTCATAGTTCATCCCACTATACCATGATGCCTCTTGAAAAACCATATTGTCCTTTATAACCCTGCCTTCTACCTTTCATTGACTAAGGCCAGCTTACCTTCAGAGTCTTAGAAGGAGTAGTTGTAGTATAATTTAAGAGGACTCAGGAAATTCTCTTTAGCCCCTCGGATATTTCCCCCATATGCTTACTGATGCTTCAAATCCCTTAAACGGGAATAATGTAATTTGTTCCATAATTACAGAGCAAGGTTTAAGATGCAAATGTCTCCTACATAGAATAAACTGATTGAAAAAAAAGTGGCTGCTCTTCGGTTCTTTCCTGTTTTAAAAAAGAAGAGGGTAGGGAGAAGTAGGAGAGTAACTACTTTGTCTTGGAATGGCCCCAAATACTTTTGACTGTGAAAGAACAATGAAAATTGGATTTAAAAATTTTTTAAATTTAATTTAATTTTACTGCATACTATAGCTTTTTGGGAACACTAGTGGTATCTAGGAAATTATCTTGGAATCAGTGACTTCAGTCTCCTTTTTCTGGTCTACTCAAGAGATGAATCTTTTATACTTTATGTGACAAATGCATTTGCAAGTGAAAAATAAGAATCTGATCAAGACCATACTTGCATTATATTTCCTCTCCAACAAGTCAGGACTTTTTGACTTGGATGACTATATGTGATTCCAGAAATCTCCCCTCCTAGACTTCTTGGAATCTATAACTCCCTTCAAGGCTCAGCTCAGACGCCAACTCCTACAAGGGAGCTTTCTAATTCTCTCAGTTATTAGTATCATTCCTCACTCCAGAAATTACTTCGCATTTATTTTGCATTTTTTGTGTATTTATTTATCTCTGTACATGTAATCATTCTCCTCCCCCTTCCCCCTACTATAGTAGAATGTAAATTCCTTAAACCAGGCACTGTTTCTCTTTTGGTTATTGTGTTCCTAGAGGCTAGTACACAGTAAACACTTAATAAATGCTTGTGGAATAAGTTAATACACAAAGCAGATTATCTGGTTCAACTGTTTCCAAGAAATAAAGTGTGTTTGGATGGATATGGACATCCATTTATCGTAGTATGGATAGAAATTCATGCAGATTGTAGAATATCAAATATCATATAGAAGAAATTAATGGAAATATCTTTTTATCCCTGAAAAGCAAACTACTCAGCAAAAGAGAAAGAAAGAAGGAGGAGACGAGGGAGCAGGAAGAGAGAGAGAAACAGAGAGTGAGAGAGAGAGAGAGAGAGAGAGAGAGAGAGAGAGAGAGAGAGAGAGAGAGAGGAAGGGAGGGAGGAATGGAAGGAAAGAAAGAAAGAAGGAAAGAAAAACTCACAGGCCCTGTAGGCTCCCAGAAACAACAGCATTTTCATTCTTCCTACTTGCCTACTTGTATCAGAGGTCACATCAAAAGTAGTGAATCTGAAATTCAGAACACATGACAAAGTTAAAGAGCATAAAGTTACAACAGACTAAGGCAAGGCAATAGGTTAAGCATCTGAACAGACAAGCAGGAAAATCAATATGATGCACCAGCACACAGGAGACTATCTATGAGCTGACCTAGAAACTGAGGCAAGCTCAGTCAGGATATTCTTAAAACACTTCCGTGTAAGAAAAGAACCAATCATCTACAAATATATATAATGTATATATTAAATATAATATATATATATATATGTATTAAAGTGAAATAATCTAGAAAGCATGCATGGGAGGATCTTTAAGGCAGTTCTTTGAAGCAGTTCATGGATTTATGGTTACTTGTGTGTAAATAAATATAAGATTCAGGTCTCTCTTAGTATTAGCTGGCAGAAAGACTTCCTTCAATATCACCTCCAGTTGCTGAGCTGAATTGCTGGCTAAGCATGTAGAGTTCTACAAAACAAGGAGCTCAGATTGATGGTTCTGATTCACTCTACCCTATAGAGATTTCCATTAATCATTTTATTTAAAAAAACAAAACCAACCAAACAAAAAAAGAAATCGAACAAGCCATCAATGAACTCTACAAAAAAATCCCCAGGGCCGGATGGGTTCACAAGTGAATTCTACCAAACATTTAAAGGACAATTCCAATACTATACAAACTATTTAGAAAAACAGGTGAAGAAAGAGTTCTACCAAATTCCTTTTATGACACAAATATGGTGCTGATATCTAAACCAGGAAGAATGAAAACAAAGAAAGAAAACTATAGACCAATTTCCCTAGTACTGATGCAAAAATTTCAAATAAAATGTTAGCAAGGAGGTTACAGCAATACATCACAAAGATCATACACTATGACCAGGTGACATTTATAACAGGAATGAAAGGCTGATTCAGTATTAGGAAATCTATCAACATAATTGACCATATCAATAACAACAAAAATCATATGATTATTTCAATAGATGCAGAAAAAGTTTCTGACAAAATACACTTATTCCTATTTAAAACACTTTTAGAAAGCATAAAAATAAATGAAATCTTTCTTAAAATTATAAGTAGCATATATATTTAAAACCATCAACAAGCATTATCTGCAATGGAGATAAGCTACAAGCTTTCCTAACAACATGAGAGGTGGAGCAAGGATGCTCATTATCACCACTATTCAATATTGTACTACCAATGTTAGCTATAGCAATAAGAGAAGAAAAAGCAATTGAAGTATCAGAATATGTAACAAGGAAATGAAATGATACGATGGTATACTTAGAGAATCCTAGAGAATCAACTAAAAAACTAGTTGAGATAACGAACAATTTTAGCAAAGTTGCAGGCTATAAAATAAACCCACTTAAATCATTAGCATTTCTATATATTACCAACAAAGTCCAGCAGCAAGAGATAAAAAGAGAAATTTCATTTAAAATAACTGCAGACAATATAAAACACTTGGGAGTTCACCTGTCAAGACAAACCCAGGAACCATATGAACACAATTACTAAACACTTTTTATGCAAATAAAGTCAGATCTAAGCAACTGGAAAAATATCAATTGTTCATGGAAAGGACAAGCCAATGTGACAAAAATGACAATTTTACCAAAATTAATTTACTTATTCAATGCTATATCAATCAAACTACCAAAAAGTTATTTTATAAAACTAGAAAAAATAATAACAATAATATCTGGAAGAATAAAAGTTAAGAATATCAAGGGAATTAATGGAAAAAAAATATGAAGGAAGGTAGCCTAGCCATACTATACCTCAAATTATATTACAAAGCTGTAATCATCAAAACTATCTGGTACTGGCTAAGAAATTGAGTGGTGGATCAGTGAAACAGATTAGGTACATAAGACATGGTAGTAAGTATCAAATACTAGTAGTAATCTAGTATTTGATAAACCCAAAGACCATAGCTTTTGGGACAAGAACTTACTATTTCACAAAAACTGCTGGGAAAACTAGAAAACAGTATGGCAGAAACTAGGTATAGACCAACATTTTATAACATGTACCAAAATAAGGTCAGAATGGGTACATGATTTACAATTGGGACACTAATACACAATTTGTGGAGCTGGAAAGTGATCCAACCATTCTGGAAAGCAATTTGGAACTATAACAAAGGGCAATCAAACTCTGCATACCCTTTGATCCAGCAATGCCACTAGGAGGTCTGTATCCCAAAGAGATTTTTTTTTTAAAGGGGGAAAGGACCTATTTGTACAAAAATTTTTATAGCAGCTCTTTTTGTGGTGGCAAAGAACTGGAAATTGAGGAGATGTCTATCAATTGGGGAATGGCTGAACAAGCTGTGGTATATGAATGTAACGGAATATCATTGTGCTATAAGAAATGATGAGCAGGCAGATTTCAGAAAAACCTGGAAAGACATATCAACTGATGTAAAGTGAAGTGAACAGAACCAGGAGAATGTTATACACAAATAACAGCAATATTATATGACGATCAACTGTGAATAACTGTGAATAACTGTGAATTTCAGCAACACAATGATCCAAGACAATTTCAAAGGACTTATGATGAAAAATGTTATCCACAACCAGAGAAATAACTGATAGAGTCTGAATGCAGATCAAAGCATGATTTTTTCCTTTATTTTTTTGTGTGGTTTTTTTCTTTTGGTCTGCTTCTTTCACAACATGACTAATATTCAAATGTGTTTTACCTGATTGCACATATAACCTATATCAAATTGCTTACCATCTTAGGGAAAGGAGAGGGAAGGACAAAATTTAGAACTCAAAATTTTAAAAAGTGAATGTTAAAAACTGTCTTTACATGCAATTGGGAAAAATAAAATACTATTTAAAAAAAAGAAGAATACATTAACAGCTGAATGGAGGTTGGATAGGAGTGGGGAGACACTTGCAGCTAGGAGACCTACCAGCAGGTTATTATTGCAATAGTCCAGCTATGAGATGACAAGGGCCTTTAGCAGGGTGGTGGCAGTGTCAGAGGAGAGAAGGGGAATATAGGAGAGATGTTGCAAAGGTAAAACTGACAAGCCTTGGCAACAGACTGGATATGGAAGTTAACTGAGAGGGAAGAGCTAAGGATGACAACTAAATTCTGAGCCTACAGGACTGGGAGGATGAGGGTATCCTCAACAATAATAAAGAAGTTTGGAAGAGGGGAGGGTTTTGGAAGGGAAAGATAATGAGTTCATTTTAGGACACGGTTAGTCTAATATGTTTAAAGGACATCCATTTTGAGATGTCCAATAGGCTGGTGGATATGTAAGAGTGGAAGTCAGCAAAGAGGTTAGGGCTAGATAAGCAGATATAAAAATCATCAGCATAGAGACAATAACTGAATCTATAGGAAAAGAGAAAATGGCCCAAGAAAGAGCCCTGTGGGGCATCCAAAGTTAGGGGATATGACCTGGATGAAGATCCAGAAAAGGAGAATAAGGAGTAGCTAAACAGGTAGCATTTAGTCTACCAAGTCCTGTCAACTTTTACTTCCCAATGTCACATTCATCTATATCTTTCCAACTTTAATGCCATTAAATCCTTGCTACTTCATAGCTGAACTAGTGCAACAACCTCCCAAAATGTTTTGGAAAATCTCTTCCTATGTTATTTTTTCTACACACTGCCACCAGATTAAGCTTTTAAAATACTACTTTCATCATATTAATCCCCTGCTCAGAAAACTTCAGTCTATTACCTGTAAGGTAAAGTATAAAAATCTTATATCTGGCATTTCCCCACAACTTTCCACTTACCTCCCAATACTTGTTAAAGAACTCTTCAATTTAGCTAAACGGGTCTATTTATTGTTCCACTAAACTAACTACTTTTCTGTCCCCTTTGCTTACTTTGTTTCCCACAAACTGGGAATTCTTTCTTCTCTGCCTCTTGAAATCTTATCCATTTTTCTCAAATCCTCCTCCTCTTTGTAGCTTTGTCTGATGATCCCAATCGGAAACGATCTGTCCTTTACACAGAATCAGAATCATCGAATCTCAGAGTTGAAAGATACCCCGAGAGTGTTTCCATTTATTCCATTCATTCATCCACTGATCCATCCATTCATCCATCTATCCATCCATTATTCCTTATGCTTAGCACAGTGGCTGGCACAGCTTAATAAGTGCTTGCTGACTGATTCAGAACAACTAATAGGAGGCAGCTAGTTGGCACAGTGGATAGAGTACCTCCTATAGTCAGGAGGACCTGAGTTCAAATCCAGACTCAGACACTTGACACTTACTAGCTGTGTGAACCTGGGCAAGTCACAACCCCATTGCCTAGCAAAACAAAACAAAACAAAACAAAACAGCAACAACAAAAAAAACCTAATAGATGAATAAGAATACTACTTATCCCAGCTAGTAGCCATCTAATCTCTGCTTGAAGACCTTCAGTGAAGAGAAACCCCCTACCACTACAGGTAGAACATTCCACTACTGCACAGCTCTAATCACTGGCCAATTTTCCCTTACCTAACTCTACCTTTCTGAAACTTTTAACCCTTTCTTTTAGTTCCGCCCTCTGGGGCCAAGCAGAACAAGATGGATCCTTTAAATTCTTGAATGCAGCTTTTATATCCCCACTAACTATTCTCTTTTCAAGAAAAAACATCCTTGTATGGTACAGTTGCTGGTGTTATCCTCTTTTGGTCCCAACTTATGAATGTCCTTCATAATATGTGATCTGACTAGAATCAGGTACAAGTAGATTATTACTTTTCTCATTCTGGACATCATGCTTCTCTTAATGGGGCCTAAGTCTGTCCTGGCTTTGGGGGTTTATAGTCACACTGTTGAAATATATAAACATTACAGTTCCCTAAAATTCCCAGATCTGATTATCACCACCTGTTTTCTAGCTACATCCCCCCCAACCCTGTACTTGTGGTGTTAATTTGTAAGATTATATCTATCCCCATTAAATTTCACATTAGATTCAGCTCCTCATCCTAGCCTCTGTCATAGATGTTAGTTATCCCTCCCAGCCTCGTGTCATTTACAAATTTGATAGCACGTCTTCTATGCCTTCACCCTCAATAAAAATGTCAAATAGCACAGTTCAAGGGGGCAATTCCTTGGAGCACTCCACTAGAGCTCAAGCTGATATTGATTCATCAATGAATAATTACACTTTGGATTCTGTCATTCAATCAGTTCCATATCTACCTAATTGTATTAACACCTAGCTCATATCTTTCCATCTTATCTACAAGGACAACATGAAAGACCTTGTGAAATACTCAGTTTAAATCCCATGTCTTATCTTATATCAAAATGTACCATTAGAAACTTTTGTCAGATGCTTTGCTGAAAACCTAGGTTTAGCATGGAAGTTTCTTGATCTAGTAGTTCTGTCAAAAAAGGAAAGAAGAACCAACCTATTGTGGATGAAGCCACTTGTTGATTCACTTTTCAGTTGTGTCCAACTCTTTGTGACATCCTTTAGGGTTTTCTTGGTAAAGATACTGGAGTGGTTTGCCATTTTCTTCTCCAGCTCATTTTATAGATGAGGAAACTGAAGCAATCATGTTTAAGGGACTTGCCCAGGGTCACACAGCTAGTAAGTGTCTGAGGCTGGATTTTAACTCAGGAGGATGAGTCTTTCTGACTCCAGGTCAGGCACTCTATCCACTGCACCATCTAGCTCTTAGTAATAACTACCTACTTTTCTAAAATGCTCATAAAACATTAATTTAACAGTAATTTTTGGATACATTTGGACACAAATAATATAATTTTTCCAGGACTTGAAGTAAGGCTCCCTGGACTAATTTTAAGATTCTAATCTCTTTCTTTTTTTGAAAATATTTGACAAATATTTGAAAATACTGACAACATTTGTACCATGCCAGTCGTGCAACACCTCTTTCATTCTCCATGATTCTTCAGAGATCACAGATAGTAAGTACCTTGGGATGTAGTTTGTCTGGCCCTAGTGACTTGAACTCAACGTGTGTGTGTGTGTGTGTGTGTGTATTTGGCTGTTCTACTCTTTCTGGTCTGAAGTTCACTCTCCTTGGAGAAAAACTAAAAGTAAAATAAAAGCTGAGTACTTCTGATTTCATCTATTATCATCATTCTATCTTTCTCAAGCAGTGGCCATATCTCTACTTTGATCTCTTTCTTCTCCCTAACATAGCTAATAAAGGAAAAACTTATTTAATTATCCTTAACATTCATCCTGGGACTCAGCTCATTTTCAGTTTTAGTGTTCCTGACAATTCTTATGGGACATACCTCTTTTTTGTATTCATATTCCATTGCCTCCCCTTGCGTTCATTTCAAAATATATCCCTTTCAATCTAACTTGGTCAATAAGTCTCCCTTTAGACAACTTACCATTTTTTTTTCTCCTTTGAACTCAATTGCGTTTATGTGTTTGAAATTTCATTTATGAGAGCTTCCCACCCCCTCTTAAGGATGACATTCCTTGTAAAATTTTAGGACACTGGACATTACCTATTTTTTCTCTGAGTCCTTTGAAATATGTTCCCTCAAAATATATAAGAAATTTTGCTTTAGGGCAGCTAGGTGGCACAGTGGATAGAGCACCAGCCTTGGAGTCAGGAGGACATGAGTTCACATCCGGCTTCAGAACAAACGCTTGACATTTACTAGCTGTGTGACCCTGGGCAAGTCACTTAACCCCAATTGCCAAAAAAAAAAAAAAGAAAAAAAGAAAAAGAAATTTTGCTTTCCTTGTCTACCACAAATTCCCTAAAGTTACTATTGTTCCTACTTTGCCATTTAACTTCTCTTAGTCTCAGTTTCCTCAATTGTAAAAGGGGAATAATACTAATACCACAAATGAGATAATTTGTGGAAAAGTGCTTTTTGAATTTTAAAGTGCCATATAAAGGCTGGCTTTTATTTTTTAATTACTTTAGCAATTGGTTCCTCTTTGTTGATTAGAATTAGCGCTCAGGAGGTCTCAGGATTGTAGTTCCCCTTGTTGCTTATTTTGGAGGTCGCTAGAATCTAATTCGTAGCACCCGATAAGCAAGACCCATGTCAAGCAATACCAAAATGAGAAATGTGATATGTCCCTCCTACCTTTAAGAAATTTACTGCAAGATGCTGCACTCTTCTTTCTGATGGATAGAACACCACAAATACACCCGTGTTCTTAGCTCTACTTCTATGGAATGATACCCCTAAGGATATACATTCCTTAGCTAGTTGATCCTAGAAAGGATTATGCAGGTGTCTTAGGCCTCCCAATGAATTCTGAGTTGGGTTTCCTACCGGACATATCTTCAAGGCCTGTTCAATCACCTGCTGACATAAAGCACAAAGCCATTAGTAAATGGGGGCAGGGCAACCTAATTTTCCATCTCTGTCCTTTATCCTTCCTTCTTTTCCCATTCCTACTTTATTTCCATTTTGGGCTTTTCAGAATTTTAATTGGTGTGAAGGTGTGATAATACCTTCAGTTTCTACTTTTTGACAAATACATATACATCCACTATTATCCACCCACTATACCATCTAGTATCCCATTTTATGTATATCAAATATTCATATTATATTCTATATTGCATGTAATTGTAAACAATATATACATTATATGCTACATAAAGTGTTATATAAATCTTGTATATAATACAAATGATATATTTATAGTATAATATATACATTGTACACCATATAAAACATTCTGTCATATATTAGTGTTATATATCATATATAATTATATATATGTATTGTGTGTATATATATATGTATATATATATACACACATATATATCTATATCTATATCTATATCTATATCTATATCTATATCTATATCTATATCTATATCTATATATATATCTATATATATATCTATATATATCTATATCTAAGATGGGAAACTAGATGGCACAGTGGATAGAGTGCTGGACTTGGAGTCAGGAAAACCTGAGCTCTCAAATCCCATTTCAGACACTTTAGCTGTCGGACCCTATGAAACTCACTTAACCATTCAGCCTCAGTTTTTTTTCATCTGTAAAATGGAGATAATAGGACCCACCTCACAAAAACTGTGCTAATTTTAAAGTGCTATATAAATGTCAGCTATTACACAACATAAACGTAAAGGGAATACATACAAATATATACAAAATGATTGAATAAAGGTTGCCTGGGAGGGAGTGCATTTTTGTCGTGTAGGATTACTAAATACAAAGTTATGGAGCTGGGAGACAGAGTTTGTGTGAGAAACAGAGAAGGCCAGTTTGGCTGGATCTTAAAGTATGTGGGAGGAATAATATCTAATGACGCTAGAAATCTAGGTTGGGGCCAGGTTGTGCCAGATTTTGAAAGATCAGCAGAGGAGACTACATTTTATCCGAGGAACCAAATAAGCAGGGGAATTATATGGTCAGATCAACTTATTGAAAATTACTTTGGCGATGTGGAGGATGGATGGTAGTGGTGAAAGACTCAAGGCAGGGGGACAAAATTGGAGGCTTGGCAATAATTTGGGTGAGAAGTGATGAAGACATGAAAGAAGGTGGTAGATATATGGAAAGGGATTAGATGTGGGAGATGTTGTGAAGGGAGAAATAGCAAGATTTTGGCAATGGATAGGATATGTGGCATGAGAGAAAGTGGAGACTGCAGGATAACACTGAATCTGGGAGGCTGGTAGTGTAGAAATACCTTGGACAGAACTAGAGAAGTTTGGAGTAAGGTTTGAGAGGAAAAATAATGAAAATTTTGAACATCTTAAATTTAAGATGTCACTGGTAGGGGCATCCATTTTGAAATGTCCAATAGCAATTGTTAGTACAGGACTAAAGCTGTCCGGGGCTAGATACACACACACACACATACACACATATGTATATATACATTATATTTTGTATAATCCACATAGATCCATTATATATAACATAATAATAAATGTAGGTGTGTATCTGTATCTATACACACATATATAAATGGATATGTATGTCTGTGTGTGTACATGTATATCCAGCCACAGTCAGCTTCAGTCCTATTTTATCAATTAGCACTAAGCAATTAGTAATGCCAGACTATCTGAGGCAGCTAGATGGTACATTGGTTAGAACACTGGGCCTGGAGTCAGGAATAGCTGAGTTCAAATCCAGCCTCAGGTACTTACTACCTGTGCGACCCTGGATAAGTCACTTAACCCCTATTTGTCTTAGTTCCTCATCTGTAAAATGGGGACACACGGGAGAAGGAAATGAAAAACCATTTCAGTATTTTTGCCAAGAAAATTTCATGGACAAAGTCTATGGGGTCACGTAGAGTTGGACATGACTAAACAACAACAGTAATGTAGGACTGAAGCTGACTGGACCGAACACACACACACACATATACGTGTACAATATAATATTATATATAAGATATACCCATTATATATAATTCATTATATATATAATATAATCCTATATAAATACATATAGAGGTGTATCCTACATTACTAATTGCTTATTGGACATTTATTTCCATTTCCATAAATAAATGTCCAATAAGCAATTAGTTTCATATATACATGTGTATATACATACATATGCATACATAGACACATATGCATATATATGTACATATATGTATGTATTACACAAGATAGGGCATTCCACAAATGTCAAAAATATTGCCAAGCAAATGAAAGCTTTACAAATATATTTTACCTAATTACATAATATACTTTTATAAGAGAAGAAAGGGACTAGGGAGGAGATAATCTAGAAAATGGTGGGGTTGGGGTTCCTTTGTGGCTACATCGGACAGAGCATATTTTTCTTAAATGGAAAGGCAGGGTGGAGTGTATATGTATTCAAGTGTTTATAGCAAGTCTAAGAGGAGTTTCTCGAATATGAGTGCTCACCTATACTTACAGCAAATCTTTCATGACTTGGAGACACCCTAACATTCTCCTCTTAGGCCTTAATCAGCCAATTTAATGCACTTATTGTCTTATAAGGAATTAAAATGTCATTAAGCTAAGTCAGGAATATCATATTGGTGATGCATTTGACAGAGAGGTTTAGCAGATGTTTAGGTGGCTCACATCCCCAGTCACTACTATATATTTTCTAGGCTGGGTAGTGCTCAGCTGGTACTCATTCACTCTAGGATACACAACCCAGGAAGACAGAAGATCTTTCTCCTACTCATGGCAGGTCAATAAAAGGCTTTCTTTTTATTTTCTAGTAGGGTGACTAATGTGGACTTTGTACATATGTAGCTGTTATTTGTCACTGATAAAAACACAAATGCAATGTATACTGTGCAGGTCACTGCCAAATTCTCCTTGCTTTATACTTGCTGGAAGTGATCTTCTTAGTGTTTGCAATGATGGTAGTGCCTGTAGTTAATTCTTGTGGCAAAGTTATATCTTTACTATACTGTGGATTCAGTTGCTGGAGCCTCTTTTGTAAAAAGTTGAATTAATATATAGCAGTTTTCTTGCCTTTACTCCCAAGATCAGGCTACACTGCTTGTTTGCCTTTGATAGGCAATTATCTGCTTCTTTGCTGACCAACTCCTTAAGCTAGCATGGGCCTAGCACAGGCAAACAGAAGCTGCCCATGGCTGTTATTTGTGAGAGGATCACAGTCCAATCTATTTACTTCCTAGATGGATTATTTCCACACACTTAAAGCAAGTGCTTTAGTGTCCTATTTTGCTGAGAGGACTGTAGCCATCATTTGTGAGTCCCCTAAACTTCCTGGTGTCATTTGCTAGTTTCCCCCTTCCCTCTTATAGAGAAGAACTATTCCTCCTCACCAAGGATAATCTGTCCACCTGTACCCTTGACTGCTGCCTCCTGATTTGTTCAGTACTTGTTCCAACAGTTAATTCTTCTCCCTTATGTGTCTCAAATTCTCTTCTCTATCACTTTCTGATCTTCCTGTCCATTCACTCAGGTCTCCCAAGTTTGGCTTTTTTTTTTTTAAAGCCTTCCTTTGAACCTTCTACCTAATGCAGACAAATTCCCATCTCTTTCCTCCCCTTCTGTACTAAACTTTTTTACAGCAGCTAGGTGGGCACAATGAAGAGAGCACTGGGCTTGGAATCAGGAAGACTCATTTTTCATAAATTCAAATCCAACCTCAGACACCTACTAGCTGTGTGACCTTGGGCAAGTCACTTAACCCAAGTTAAGCTTGCCTCAGTTCCTCATCTGTAAAATGAGATGGAGAAGAAAATGGCAAACCACTCCAGTATATTTGTCAAAAATCCCAAAATGGGGTCACGAACAGTTGGATATGGCTGAACAATACAACTAAACTTCTGGAAAAAAATTTCTCTACTTAGCTAACTGCTCTCTCCTTATCACTTCGTAATCAGGCCCTTTGGGCCCAGGCTTTTAGGGCCTTCCTAACTGATCGATCCTATTGCTTATTTCAGTCCTCAGCCTCCATGACCTCTTGCTAACCAACTCTTTAGCCATCACATTGCTACGGAGAGAGTGAAGGATGCAGAGCCAGAGCAACTGAGTTCAAATCATGGTCCTACTATTTATTACTATCTGTTCATACAGATATGGTCATCCATAGGCAAGTCACTTCATTTGTATGGGTTCCTCATCTGTAAAATGAGGGAATTTAACTAGATTATCTCTAAAATCTTTTCAAGCTCTAAACCTGTGACCACTGATACACCACTAGGTGTATTCCCCTTTGTGTTACACTTCAGCCTAGACTGCCAAGATCCCAGTCAGGCAGGGAGGGTGGTGGCTGTCATTAGGGGCACCCTCCTTCTCTTCAGCAGTCCCTATAGTCCCTCCACAGCTCTGGATCTCTTGGACCCCATCCAGGCCATTTGACTGTTCACATAGCTTGGCTAAAATGGAAGTCATCAACTATATTCCTTCCAGTGAGATAAAGTATCCCCAGGTCTTAACCATCTTTTCTACCTCTGCTTTGGAAATCCTCGATCACTGTCTTCTGACCTAGGCATCCTAAATATCCCATGGCTTTTCTTTCTACCTTGTAGCTAAGCTTTCTTTTATGTGTTGTTTACCCCCATTAAAGTGACCTCCTTGAGATCAGGGACTGTCCCACTTTTTCTATTTGTATTCCTCAGGGTTTAGCACCATGCTTAGCAGGTAGTAAGCACTTGATGTTTTTAAATTCATTTGTTGATTGCTACTATATACTGTTTGCTCTCTTGGTTTCAAAGACAAAACAGTTCAATTCAACAAATACATATATTTTGTACAAGATACTGTACTGGGAATACAAAGACGAAAAGAAAAAGTCCAAGCCCTCAAGGAGCTTACATGCCACTGAAGGGATACAATGTAATCTGGAGAGGGAACTAAGAAATGGGGGATCAGGAACGATTACATAAAGGAATGAATATAAAGTAGAAGTGAGTAGATTAGATCTAGTAGATTGGAATGCCACAAGAACTATGGACAGATGTTCACAATACTGTGCAGGAGGCAGCAGCAACAACAACAACAACAACAACAACAACAAAATAGAAAAGAAAAAGAGCAAGAAAACAGAATGGCTGTCTGATGAGGCTTTAGAAACAGCTGAGGAAAGAAGGAAAAAGGGAAAGATATGCCCAAATCAATGCAGAATTCCAGAGAACAGCAAAGAGACATAAGAAGGTTTTCTTAAACGAGCAATGCAAAAACAGAAACAACAGAATGGGAAAGACAAGAGATCTCTAAGAAAATTAGAGATATCAAGGGAAAGTTTCATGCAAAAATGGGCATGATAAAAGACAAGAATGGTAGGGACTTAACAGAATCAGAAGAGATTAAGAAGAGGTGGCAAGAATACACAAAAGAACTATACAGGAAATATCTTAATATCACTGATAAGTGAGATGGTGTGGTTACTGATCTAGAGCCAGACATCCTAGAGAATAAGTCCAGTGGGCCTTAGGAAGCACTGCTGACAATAAAGCTAGTGGAGATGATAGAATTCTAGCTAAGTTATTTAAAAACCTAAAAGATCATGCTGTTAAAGTGCTGCATTCAATATGCCAGCAAATTTGGCTCAACAGTGGCCACTGGATTGGAACAGGTTTATATCCTAATGCTAAAGAAGGGCAATACCAAAGAATGTTCAAATTACTGAACAACTGCTCTCATTTCACATGCCAGCAAGGTTATCCTTAAGATTCTTCAAGCTAGGCTTCAGCAATATGTGAACTGAGAACTACCAGAGGAGCAGACTGGTTTTCAAAGAGGCAGAAGAACTAGAGACTAAATTGCCAACATTTTCTGGATCATGGAGAAAGCAAAGGAGTTCCAGAGAAAACATCTACTTCTGCTTCACTGACTACACTACAGCCTTTTACTGTCTGGATCACAACAAAATGTGACAAGTCCTCAGAGACATGGGGGTACCAGATCATCTCACCTGTCTCCTGAGGAAGCCAAGAAGCAACAGTTAGAACTGAACATGGAACATGGATTGGTTTAAGATTGGAAAAGGAGTATGACAAGGCTGTCTGTATATTGTCACCTTATTTAACTAACATGCAGAGTACATCACAGGAAATGTCAGGCTGCATGCATCAAAAGCTTAATTAAGGTTGCTGGGATGGGGCAGCTAGGTGGCACAGTGGATAGATCACTGGCCCTGAAGTCAGGAGGACCTGAGTTCAAATCCGGCCTCAGACCAAACACTTGACAGTTACTAGCTGTGTGACCCTGGGCAAGTCACTTAACCCCAATTGCCTTTAAAAAAAATGCTGCTGGGAGAAATATCAATAATCTCAGATATGCAGATAATACCACTCTGATGGCAGAAGATGAGGAATTAAGAAGCCTCTTGATGAAGGTGAAAGAAGAAAGTATAGAAGCTAGCTTGAAGCTTAACATCAACAAAATATAACAAAACTAAGATCTTGGTAACTAGTCCCATCACTTTCTGGCAAACAGAGGGAGAAGAAATGGAAGCAGTATCATATTTTATATTCTTGGCCTCAAAGATCACTGCAGATGGCAACTGCAGCCATGAAATTAAGACACTTGCTCCCTGGAAGGAAAGCTATGACAAATCTGGATAGTACTAAAAGGCAGAGACATCACTTTGCCAACAACGGTCCATGTGATGGGGTATGGGCCCAAGCTGAGACCTTTGCCCCTTGCCCCAAAATGAATTTGGCTCCCATTTGTCCACAGGCCCCAGAAAACCCTTAAACTCACCCTGGTCTTAAACAGTTACCTGAGACTATATTCCACTCAATGGCTTTTCTCCCTGTCTCCCTTTGAAAGCCCTAGTTTATATCCCACCTTTGATCTTATCAAACATCCTCCTGGACATTCCCATCTCAGCTTCACTGTCTATTCAATCTCCCAGACATCCCAATAGGAATTCTCCCTAAGTCACCCAGACCCGCTTCCCAGCCTTTCCTCTGGTCACCCAAAATTACTTCAATGTATATAAGATCCACCCTGGTCCCCATTTAAACACTGAGATTTTCTCATGCCCACTCGTCCTTATGGGCGTCACTTGGCCTCTACGGTTTATCTCTGACAAACTTTTCCTCTGGCTGAAAGAAGATTTGGGTTGAATTCTTTTAGGTAGCACCTGCATGTTGTCATCTCAGGATCCCAGCACTCCTAAACCTCCAGACCTCATCACATGTAGTCAAAGCTATGGTTTTTCTAGTAGCAAAGTATGGCTGTGAGAGTTGAACTATAAGGAAAGCTGAGCACTGCAGAACAGAAGCTTTCAAACTGAGGGGCTGGAGAACAAGACCAAATCAGTCAATATTTAAAGAAATCAATTCAGCCTATTCACTGGAAGGTCAAATACTAAAGCTGAAGCTTAAATACTTTGGCCACATAATGAGAAGATTGGATTCACTAGAAAAGAACCTGATGTTGGGAAAGATTGAAGACAAAAGAAAAAGGGGTGACAATGGATGAGATGGATAGATAGCATCATGGAAATAATGAACATGAACTTGGACAGACTTTGAGAGATAGTGGAAGATAGAAGGGCCTGACATGCTATGGTTCATGGAGTCACGAAGAATTGGACACAACTGAAGGACTGAACAACATCTGAGTTTAGTCTTGAGGAAGCTCCACCTTTGTAACTGTTTCTTTTCTTCATTTGCTTTCTAAGACAATAGTGTCCAAATAGGACTTCCCACTTAAACTCACCTTTCCCTTAACACAGTGTTTCTTATCCTGTGTATGTATATGTGTGTGTGACATACCCTTTGGCAATCTGGTGAAGCCAATGCATCCCCTTTTAAAATGTCATTAAATGCATAAATAAAATATATAGGATTACAAAGGAAACCAATTATATTGAAATAAAGATGCAATTTTTTTCTCCATCAAAGTCTATATGCCTCCTAAAATCTGTGAATGAAACTCTTGGAAGTCACTGGAACCCAAGTTAAGGTTAGAACTCTTGCTTTAACACATTCTTCAGACTAACCTTTATGCAGTGATCTAGCCCATGCTATTCTGCTCAAAAATCTTCAATGGCTCCCTAATGCTTACTAAATAAAATTTAAGATTTTTGCCTGGCATTCAAGACTTTTCAACTTCTGGGACAACAGTACATTCCAAGTCTTTTTTTAAAAAAAATTCCCTTTACCTATTCTATGCTTCACTTAAACTAGTGGCTTGGTGGATGGAATGCTGGCTATAGAGTCAGGAAGACTCAGTTCAAATCCAGGCTCAGATACTCACCAGTTTTATGACCCTTAGAAAATCACTTTGTCTTTATCTGCCTCAATTTCTTCATCTGTAAATTGGGGATGATAAATAGCACTTATCTCCCACTTACTGTGAGGATCAAATGAAATAATATTTATAAAGAGCTTTGCAAATCCTAAAATGCTATATAAATGCTAGCTATTGTTTGTTATTACTACCCTCTTCATGCTGAACGAATTAATATCTGTTGAAGGCTAAATAAATGACTACTATTTTGATAATGGACAATTTTAATGTCAAAGGCAAAAGCATTATAATATTTTTTTCCCTACAAAAGGCTCAGAGATTGAAGTGGTAATAAAATGTTTTTGAAAAAAAAATCAATAAATCAACAAATGCATTGGGCACACACAGACAAAAAGAGACCCTATCCTCAAGGTATTTTATCATTTATCAGCAGAGATGACATGTACATATATAAATATATACAAAATATAGGCATGTAGTCTGATTTGTGGGGAAGGAAGAAGAAAGGCCCATGTTGGCTATCCAGGCTCTGCATTCTTCTATTCCTACTTATATAATGATGTCCCCCCTGCCCCAAAGGCAAATAAATACAATAAAGAATAAAAAGAGAAATACAAAATAAAAATTTTGGGAAGGAGGGCAGTAGCAGGAAGGAAGTATCAGAAAAGGCCTCACATAGAATGTGGTGCTTGAATGAAGTTTTGGATGAAAACTAGAGATTCTAAGAGTTTTTTAATCCACTGATAGCCAGTGGATGTGGAATCAAGGCATGGCCATGCTAACTATGTGAACTTGGGCAAGTCATCACTTCTCTGGGCTTCAGTTTCCTCATCTGTAAAAGTTGGCGTTGGACTGGGTGGTCGTCAAGGATCCTTCTGGCTCAAGTCTACAATCTTATGAGTGGGCTTAAGGCCCAAAGGGATAAAGCTTATTTTAACTTCAAGGCATCATTACAGAGATGGGACAGCAATGAAGTTAGATGTGTAATACTGAAGGAAGAAACTCACAGCTCTATCTATCACACTTGCCTTTTTCTTTCCATTCTCAGGTAAATTTGTTGATAGATCAACAACACTGACAACCAGAGAGAGATAACTGGCGATGTGAAACTGAGCACCACTTTTTCTTTCTAGGAATCCTATTTCCTTCGTAGTTATTATGTACTTATGTTTTATTCTGTATTATGGTTATTTGTTTACATGATATACCTACCCACTGGATTGTTAGGTTCTTGAGGATAGAGACTGCGTTTTATTTACCTTGGTTTTTCCATCCACCCTGAGCTTATCATAGTGCTTTTTCTTTAATTAATTCTGCTGTTGAATTCATCTGGCTCCTATCCCCGACTGAGTGCCCCAGAGACAACACAAAACACCAAAAGAATATAAAATCAATATGTTGATTGTTTTAAGAAAAAAGAATCTTAGTGCATTTCTTTCACATTATCATTAATTGCCTGCAGTAGTACAAATTTTGGGAACTATGGATTTGGGTGTCAGATTTCTCCCATAGAAGCTAAGAGGTCTGCTGGTTTAGTATAGGGCAAAGTTGTTACTGAATTCTTTGCATTTCTCTCTGTCTGCTTCTCATTGTTTTTGTGGCTTCACTTTTCTCAAAAGCATTTACATTCATTTTTCAACGCCTCAGTCATTTACATTATAAGATACTTTAACACACCACTTTCAGCAAGCATCACTGTGCTTTTATGTCTATATCAATAGCAGATGACCAAAATCAGTTGTGCTGAAACATGCAATACTCTAAGCCATTTTGGATTAATTCCTAGAATGTACAGTGGAATGCTGAGCAATGCAATTTAATTTATTAGCTTGCAGGTTTGCTGTAAGATTTGAAAACTGTAGGATAAAACATTAGCACAAGCATGGTAAGAACAAAAGCAACTCTTAAATTTCCACTTTCACTAGAGTACACTTCAGGACACCTTGATTGTCAAGAAAATTTTCTAGGTTAAATTTGTTGTTGTTGTTGTTTACTTGTTCAGTTGTTTCTCACTCTTCACGACTCCATTTGGGGTTTTCTTGGCAATTCAATTCAATCCAGCTGAGCATTTATTAAGTACCTACTAAAGAAAGACATTTAAGTAAACATACTGTCTAGACATAAAGATATGGTGTTCTCAGGAGATCTTTAAGAACATAATAGTATCTCTGGGTTTAGGCAAGGTTTAATTTAAAGGCTTGAGTACAGAGCTCTTCAGTTGCTAGTCTTAAGACATTATGACCCTCAAAAAAAAGATTAGATATCTAAACGATGTGAATGTAAAACTGCAATTCTTTACTTGCTTTGTGGTTATGAAATGCCACTGTATAATAAGCATGGTTCATCCTTTACTTTGGTATGTACACTCTGTCACTAGATTGTCTGTGTGACCATGAATATGCAACTTAACCTCTTAGCCTATATTTTTAATCTGCACAATAAAGTAATATCTGGTTGTATCTTCGTACTATCTAATCTGCTGAATGAGGCAATATCTAGTTCTATCTTCCTTATGAATGAAAACAATAAAGTTTCTTCTGAAAGGTTCAAAGAAAGTATCACTTTCACCCCAGCAATAAGTTGAAATATATTGAAAATCAGATTTGATGACCACCTTTAGCATTATTGGTGGGCTTTTCAGCCTGTATAAAAGCAAGTCCATATGCTCACTGAGTGTTTTTTTTCTTCTTCCTTTTTGCTGGTGTCTGAAAGGACTCTATTCTCTGAATTAACTGAGTTGGACATGATGGGATATCATAATGTTATTGGGTCCCAGCACATCACAGACAATTTACAAGCAAGCATAGCATAGTATTATCCAGTGTAGGCTAGAGTCAATAAACAATAGTCCACAAACATTTATTAAGAGCCTACTCTGTTCCAGGCACTGTGTTGAGTGCTAGAGACAGAAATAAGGAAAAGAAAGATAGCCCCTGGCCTCTAGGACTTAAAAATTAATTGCTGGCTGTAGAAGTCAACCCCAAAATACAAGGGGAATGAGACAGGAGATCTGATTATTTAATACCCTGGTAGTGCCAGATGAGAATCTAAGGTTAAGCTCAATTGAAAAGAACATGACAATACTGGGTAAAAGTTAGAAGTTTAAATTACAGAATTTTGTTTTTACAAAGATCTAAAATATCCTGTCTTGGTTTTAATGCCAAAAAATATCAAGCATAAAAAACAAAAATTAAAAAGAACCAGACCACAGAGAATAGGAAAAGAACAAAACTGGTAGTATAAAGAGTATGGGTCTAGGAAATGAAAACTAGAGATCAGAGTTTTGAGGTAAAGAGAACCCTCAATCCACATGTTTTTGGGTCCTTAACAAAACTGCGTTAGGAGTCACTACCTGCCACATGACAGAAGCTAGCAGAAGGCTTGGAATACACTTAATACTTGTTGATAATTTTTTTAAATTATTTTATTTTTAGTTTTCAATATTCACTTCCACAAGATTCTGAGTTCCAAATTTTCTCCCCATCTCGTCCCTCCCCCCACCCCAAGATGGCATGCAATCTGAATACCCCTTCCCCTAATCTGCCCTCCCTTCTATCTCTCCCCCTCTTCCCTTATCCCATTCCCCTTCAATTTTCCTGTAGAGCAGGACAGATTTCTATGCCCCATTTCCTATATATCTTATTTCCCAGTTGCATGTGAAAACAATTTTTTTTAACATTTGTTTTTAAAACTTTGGATTCCAAATTTTCTCCCTTCCTCCCTCCCCACCCACCCTCATTGAGAAGGCAAGTGACTCGACACACGTTATACATGTGTAGTCATGCAAAACACTTCCATAATAGTCATGTTGTGAAAAACTAAGTATATTTCCCTTCATCCTATCCCGCCCTCCATTTATTCTATTCTCTCTTTTGACCCTGTCCCTCCTTAGAAGTGTTTGCTTCTGATTACCCCTCCCCCAATCTGCCCCCCCCATCATTGCCCTGCTCTCTTGTCCCCTTCCCTTGACAATTATTTTTAAAATGCTACAGGAGGAGTTATATCATCTTAAAATGTATTAAACCAGCTTCTGCTTAGTTTCTATCCATTACAGACTTAGTAAATTCTAGTTCTAATGGCATATCTGTGAAGAGAACCTCAGGCAGCCAAGGTACTACCATTGTCCACAGCTGACTGGTGTGACCAATAGGCACTAACTATACAAATACCCACCATGGTTAATAAGAGTAAAGTTACATTCAAAAAGGCCAGAGTTTTCATAACTTCTTTGTAATTAAATCCAAAGTAATTTAGTCTTTTCTAAAGTAGCTAATGTAGCAGGAAATGCCATTTGATACATACCCAATTGTGAAATGTGACTCATATCAATGCCAAAGCAAAATAGAAAAGGGATAATCTTCAGTATCTGTGTCACATAAATAGTATTCTTGTTCCAAATGAGATCCACTATATTTGGGGAACTTCTGGAATATGGGGGTCACTCCTTTAAAATGTGACTTTCACACACTGCCATAGCAAGCATTAAGGCCTCTCTGGGAGGAATGTTTGCAGACAACAACCTTTAATAAATCAGCAAACACAATGAAGGCTTACAGTGTACTGAGTGAATCACTTATGAATAGTCTGCTCTTCTCCTCAAGCTGGCATCCCTTGAAACTTTCATTATTGTACTCACTCTTCTGAATACTCCATTTCAAGCTCTGTCAAACTCAAAGAAAGAAATAACTGGATCATGAAGATTCACTCTAGTTGACTCAGTCATCTTAACAGCTGGTTAGGACTAAGGAAAAAGTCAATATGATCAATTATGTGATAATAATACATTAATTCAGAAGAAAAAAATCTTATCAACCCCATAATAATCATTTCAAGGGTAGTATAAATATGAAGCTAGTCTCGTGTCCCAAAAGCAAAGATTACAGATTTCTAGAAAATGTGAAAAATACCAAGAATCACAATCCAATATTTATTCCATGATGTTAGAAGACATAAGGAAAGTAGTACAGTCTATTTCTTGTTATAAATGTAAGTGAGATAACAGGCACAACACCTTGCATATACAACTCCTGCCTAGTGTTGAACAACCACTACTTTGCATTAAACCACAAGGGCAGAGGCATCATCTCCAGAAGGCCACTGCTAATAATGCAAATAGCACCTGGGAGGAAAAGGTTGGTCCTAAACAACCCAATACAATTTAATCTAATCCAACAGGCATTTATTAAATGCCTAATAACCTCAAAAAAATGCCTTAAACTATTTTCTCCAACACACCAGCGATAATTTGTTATAAAAAGGAGTTTTTCAAGGGAGAAGGGAATATAGTAACCATTAGCTGTGAGGCTAGTAGGCAGCATGGGGTGATAAGAAAAGAGAGAACAGATCAGGATGGATTTCCCCAATGGAGGCCCTGAGTAAATGTGAAACAGGGAAAATTAGGGGAGGTGGACTATGAAAGAATGAGGACAAATTTCACTGACTTCACAATTTTGTTTAAGGTTGCCCTTGTTGGGGATGCTATAGAGAGGATTCCTGTTCAGGTACAGGTTGGGCTAGATGGGCTTTGAGATGGTTTCCTATCCTGCGATTCTGTAATATAGACCTGGGTCCAAATTTCAGCTCTGCTACTTCATATTGACATGACCTTGGAAAAGCTACCCAATTTAGGTTTTTGAGTCTTCATTTAAAAAATGAGTCATTTGGGCTAAATAATTTCTTACCTCTAAGCTATAAATCTTAGGAAGCTGCAATCTATGTATTAGATAAATCTGCTGATTAACATTTGATGGAATTAAGACTTAAAAAATAATCTGAATTTTTTAATGTTTTATATATATATCTTCACACTGCCTAAATTTCCCCTGTATTTCTTCCCCAGTCTGCTTTCCCTTTTAAGGATTTATTTTCAAGTAACTTTCAGAAAATACATGTTTACCCAATTTTAAATTCCATAAAATTGTAAGCTTTGACAAAACATTATGTTACACTTTTTTATAATAAATACTAGGGAAGATTTCCATCTCATAGTTTTGTGAGAATAATCTAAAAATTATGTAAATTTGAATCTCTCCTTTTCTTCAAGGAAAGAAAATGTCAATTCTAGAAGTTGTGGATATCAAAAGAATAAAATTAATGCAACCTATTAAGTTCATATTTCTTTTAACAAAAACTCCAAACCATTGAAATGGTAAGTTTATCTTAACAAATGTTCTATGTTCCCTTGGTTTCCCTGACATCATTTTGTACTGGTTCGCTTCCCACCTTTCTGACCTACATACTGTTGGACAATTACCCATATCCTGCCCCCAAGGCATGTTATGGACACCCTAAGGGTGTACCACAGGGTTATATCCTGATAAATCTTTTCTTCTTTCTCTTTATTCTCTCTATCAGTGATTACATCT